AAACAATTAATATAATTTCAGAATTCAAACTAACCATGACAACAGAAAACAGGATAGAGAGACAAGAATACTCTTATCATTCCTTCTGTGCTCTACCCCTGAACAATAACCCCTTGTTTGTTCCTTCTATGCTAATAGTGCAGTAAGGTGCTGGAATTCTAAGAGATTCAGGAATAATCAAATTGAGAAGCTCCTCTATAGTGGGTAAGCAAGCCTGAGTTTTGCACTTTTCTTATCTACCATAGTCAAATTAAATGCATCATTTTCTATATAGTTCTCAAAGATGTAGAAATGTTGAGAACATAACAAAAGGTAGTCTTTAGTATTTTCAACATTCCTATGCTCCATTCTTCCTGATTATGAGGCTAAATAGATTTTTTTAAAAATGAGATTGTGACAAAATGCTAACTCATATTCAGAATCTGAAAGCTTAAGGTTTGAGGCCATCAGACTCACTACTGCCTTGTTCTAGGTTTTTGCAAATTTCTCTCTATCTTTTCCCAAATAAATGTTCATGGGCATGTTTCCTATAATGATAATTAACATTAGATTACTTCACCCTCAATTTTAATCCAAAATATTATGATGCTACTTCTGCATTTTTAATCATGCAACAGTGGTTCTTCTGTGGCAGATGATACAAATGTCCTGACTTCATCAGAGGAAAATTGGCTATTAACTTGGGATTTTAGCAAGATACTTAGCAAGGTCTCTCATAATATTCTGTGGTCAAGAAGAAAAATATAGGCTAGATGATTATATAATTAATGTGATTCACAGCTGGCTGAAACAACATATATGAAAAGGTGTTAATTAATAGACTGATAGCAAGCTAAAGGAGCTCTCCAAGTATTCTACAGCACTTTGCCCTTTGCCCAGTGCTACCTTTTACTTATTATCAATAACCTGGATGAATATATATAATACTTATCAAAATCTGGGTAAGATCCAAATACATTAGATCACAGAAATAGAACCTAAATATTGGAACAGACTAGGGTAATGGGCCAAAACTAATAAGATAAAGTTTAAGTAAGACAAATACAAAGTTCTGTACTTTAGTCCAAAATGTTCTGCCTTGCTCATAAATTGAATACACAAAATTTTGTTAACCAGAAGCATATGGATTTAGCTGTTAAAAGAAGTCCATTAAATGTTAGGCAGCATTGTAATAATAGATATTTTTTGGGTTGTAGAAAGAAAATTGGTTCTAGTATCAGAAAACTAGGTCAATTCCTAATTCTGCTACTTTGGTCTCTTAAACTCTCTAAGCCTTAATTTTGTTGTGAACTTAAAATGTGTTAATATGTCTAAGTTCCAAGCACTTGTTTGCAACAAATATGACCTAGAAAAGTTACAATTTACAATAAAATTGGTGGTTGTGCCACTCCATTTTGTGTTTGGGAATGAATTGCAAGGAACTGGAGCTACTTCCAAAGACAGTGACTAGGATGGATGAGTACCTCCAAGCAGGACAGGAAGGACTGTTGCAGGAACTGGAGATAACTGCCTTGAAGAATAGTGGATTTAAAGGACATGGTATCTACATTCAAATATCTGATGGTGAACTGGTGCCCTCCTGGAGGGCTTCAGGAGGGAGAACTAAAAATGGAGAAAGGAAATTACAAGAATGTGGGCCAGGATGAGCACTTGGGGATGCTGTGTGTGATTTCAGCACAACTAAGTGGTTAGACTACATGACCTTCAACATGACTGTGTAATGTCATATTTCTAGGTCACTTTACATGAAGTGGTTCCTGCCTCAAGTCAAAATAAACCAGAAGCTCCACTATCTTGGGTTGGGCTGGTTTCTAGTCTTGCAATTATATTACCCTTTCTCCAGCTCTAGTATAAACTTCTTATTTCTTCAATCCGCCTTCTTTGACCACTTTACTCTTGCTCTCTATTGTATTAATTTTTGGACGTTTAAAATGCCATCTTTCCCAGAACTGAACTATCCAAAGGATACAGTATAAAGGATAATTTCTGGATACTTTTTAGAAGATGGGCTAGCAAAGCATGATTTCCTGGTTGCTGAAGTAAGAAGGTAAAAGGAAAATTAAGAACCGGAATTTAAGAGCTTCAGAGTTGGAGCTATGGACCAATGAGTAGGGAGGTTGCCAACCTGACAAATCTTTTTCTGAAAAGGAAGTGGAGACACAATCTTGAGTGGTTTGGCTTCAAGTACTCAAAAGTTGTTTGCTCAAAGCATTACTTCCTTTGTTATTCCAAGGCCAAGGAAGGCTAGAAAACCAGGTTGCTCAGCACCTCCAGCCTGTTCCTTATGGTAATTGTGAAAGTGCCTAGTGCAACCAGGTAGGCTGCTGCCCACCTCTGACTTGGCCAGGGCACACCCGCTTGCTTCCCACTAGTGACTCCAGAGAACCATTTCTTTTTCTTTTTCTTTCTTTATCTTTTTCCCCCTTTTTTCTTTCGTTCTTTTCTTTTTCTTTCTTTCTTTCTTTTTTTTTTTTTAAGCCACTGGTAGGGGAAAATTGGCTGAGCGCCGGTTGTCAGTGACGCAGCAGTGAGTCTGGCGTGGCTAGGGTGAAAGAGGACGCTTGGGGGAGGGAGACATGACTCCTGACTGGTTGGGAATGAAGGCTTATTTGCATAACGCTGTAAGACAGCATTTGATTGGCTAAAGCCAGAGGGGCGGTGGTGGGGTGATTCCAAAGGCCCGCAGTTCTGGTCCAGAACCTTTCCATTCCGGAGTTACCCCTGTGGCCTTAAGTTGTTGTGCAGCTCCAGGGGAGCTGAGGACACCGCCTTTGGGAAGTTCTGTAGGCAGGTGCATGAGCCATCTTTTCCTTAAGAAATGTGAAAGAACAAGGGTAAGAGTCAAGAAACTGGGGGATGGAGAGTGACCTGGAAACCAGAGAAAGAAAAACAGACCAGGAAAGAGGAGGCCAAAAAGAAGGCATTAGGGGCTTTCTCCCCAGCTGGGCTCCCCCCACCCTGAACCCCTTTTCTAGATCACTTTAATTTCCATTTTCTGTGAGTTATTGTCACACTTTGCTGTGACTGAAAAGAAAAAGGGCAGGATTCTGGCATTTCATTACTCAAATCTGAATACCAAGTTTTCATTCAGAGGCATAGGTACTTAAAATATCAACAGGGTTTGCCATTGGGGACAGAATATGCTTTAATTAATGAGAGGCTCAGCTAGTGGAAACCGGATATGTGTTTTTCTCTTGCAATGCTGTATGTCTCATTGGACAGGATTTAAAGTCAACCTGGACTACTTTGTACTCTCTTGCTGCCTAAGCACTGGGGCGGGTGTGTGTGTGTGTGTGTGTGTGTGTGTGTGTGTGTGTGTGGAGGTGGAGGGCGTCTGTGGCACACACTCATCATAGAATTGTCCTACATTTTGAGGGTTTCTGATTATGCCCACAAACACCTGGTGTCTATGATGAGGTCCTATATGAGCAAGTACAAATAATCGTTGTAAAGTGCATTGCAATTTACATATTTTTAAATCCATTATCTTCAACCAAAATTTGACATGGCTCATGGGAGAAGCTACCTAAGGCTGAACAAGTTTCTAAGTCTCCATGTGTGCAAAGAGGAAGGGTGAGATTATTTTAATGCTTCAAGTTTATGTAGTGCTTTTTGCTCTATATTTTTCTTTTCATTGATCCAAAGATCCTGATAGGTAGGTTGAGCAGATAATATTATCCCAATTTTATAGGTAAGAAAACACGGGCTGTAATCTGGTGCCCATAGGCACTGGGAGGGGACCATCCCCAGACTGGGCTTGGTGTCCAGGGATCACTGACTTGTGTCTCATTGAGTCTTTGCTGTATCAAATAAGATTGTCATTCAAAAGACAATTAGGAAGATTATTTGCCATGGAAAAAAACAAATATAGATTGTAAAGTGAAATAAATAAACCTCTTTATATGCTCTTTGCTTTTGGCACTTTTTGTCCTGCAAGGAAATACTGTACTAAAACTACTCCTGGAAGGTTTTAGAGAAAAATGATTTAAAGTTAGAAACGAGGCTTGTTGAATTATTTGTAGGACTGTAGGAGAAGACTGGTAGATGAAGGATGTGACAAGGGAAGTGAGATTATAAAAAAACAAAAAATGAAAACGGGCTGTGGTTTGGAATATCAAAGTGAAAAATTAAGGTTTGAGGCTCTTAAAAGTTAATCCAGTGATATGGTACATAGCTTATTAAGGCCCTATTAAATGGCTTTGCATTTTAAGAGATATCTGTGGAAAGAAATACTTCAAACACCGCCCCCCACCCCCCATTAACACATTATTGGAAACCTTCCTGCTTTTCTGTTAAATGATGAAAGATGCAACACCAGGCCTAACTACTGTCACCCTCGCCTGGTTCTCTGCATTGGGGCTGTCCAGCATCACTGAGTAGGGGGATTTGGACAATAGCCAGAAATTTAGTTACTTCTTCTAATTTCCATGTTTGATCTTTTGGGAAAAAATGAGCAGATGGTGGGTCACTCTATCCCTGGCAGCAACTATTACAAGAAAGACTGAGAGTCCCCAGCAACTGGCCAAGGACAAGGCCACAGTGGAAGCACTAAGAGTCCACGTGCACCCCGACCGTGCCCAGCCACCCTTCTTATGTAAGAGTCCCGGGATAGAGTTGCGGCTGCTGCGGGTCGCTATTTCCCAACAGCTAATAATAAACCAGGACAGTAGTTTCCCGGTTGAAGCCACTATTGGTGAGTGGTTTAGAGGCTCATTTTGCAACCAGAGCGCGTGCATTTCGGTCATCCTATTCCAGGAGCACCAGAAAGGCCCACCCAACCCTGGCACTGCAGCCCGCCCTCTTGCCAGCCAGGACGCTGGCGTTTTCTTTACCCGCGCAGTGCCTCGCCCTCCCTCAACTGGACTGCTTAGCTCTCGCGCTGGTGGGGTGCGGTTGTTCCAGCCCAACCCGGGAGCTGCGCCCTCCCTCCACCCCGGCATCAGGCGAGAGGCGGAGCTGGCCTGGCCTGCCCCGCCCTCGCAGTAGAAAGGGCCAGGGAGTGTTACTCCCGGTCATCCTGACTCGGGACTTTTATCTCGGCGCAGCTGGGAGGCGGGAGGAGGAGACACCGGGGGTGGCCCTGATCGCTGGCGACACCTTTCTGGGACTCTATAAATTGAGCACCTGGGATGGGTAGGGGGCCGACGCTACCACCACCAATCCAGTCACAGTCCGGTCACTGACCACAGCAGTGCCCACAGGCAGCGGCCATCAGCTGCGAGAGGCTGAGCTACTCAGCGACAGGGATCCTCCAGGCCAGGACGAGGTGGGTGCCCCCGCCCCATCTCTGCTCCAGTCCACGTGTGTACTTGGACTCCGCTTTACCGGGGTGGGGAGCGACCCTTCCTCCTTTCCGGGGCCCTGGGCTGGTGAGGGGGCGGGATAGCCCGGCTACACCTGTGCGAAGTCGCAGGGGAGCAGTGATCGCGGAGGGAGGAATGCGCGGGCGGGGACGCCGGGTTCCCTGGTAGAGTGAATAATCTTCTCTTCGCCCCCCTCTCCCAGCCAGGTCAGGGCTCGATCCACAGACCACGCGCCGCCATCGCTAGCTACTGGACGCCGCAGCCGCACATCCCGCAGGGCGGGTCTGGGAGAGGGCGGAGGAGGAGCCGGAGTCCCGTCCGGCCCCGGCGAGGCTGTCCCAGAGCCCCCGAAGGCGGGCACCCCCTCGCCTCAGCCGGCCGTCCCGCGCTCCTGGGCTTCAGCATCCGCGAGGTCACCATGATGCAAATCTGCGACACCTACAACCAGAAGCACTCGCTCTTTAACGCCATGAACCGCTTCATCGGCGCCGTAAACAACATGGACCAGACGGTGATGGTGCCCAGCCTGCTGCGCGACGTGCCCCTGGCCGAGCCCGGGCTGGATAACGATGTCGGCGTGGAGGTAGGCGGCGGTGGCAGCTGTCTGGAAGGGCGCACGTCTCCGGCCGCTGGAGAGGGCAGCGCCAATGGCAGCTTCTTCGCGCCCTCCCGGGACATGTACAGCCACTACATGCTGCTCAAGTCCATCCGCAACGACATCGAGTGGGGGGTCCTGCACCAGCCGCCACAGCCTGCGGGGAGCGAGGAGGGCGGCACCTGGAAGCCCAAGGACATCCTGGTGGACCTGAGCCACTTGGAGGGCGCGGACACCTCCGAGGAGGACCTGGAACAGCAGTTTCATTACCACCTGCGCGGGCTGCACACTGTGCTCTCCAAACTCACGCGCAAAGCCAACATCCTCACCAACAGATACAAGCAGGAGATTGGCTTCAGCAATTGGGGCCACTGAGGAGGTTCGCCCGCCGCTGACCAGCACCCTTCCCTGCCCCATCTCTTACCCTCTCTTTTCTCAAAGCTCTTTTCTTTTTGGCTGTAGGGCGTGATGGGCCTAAGGCAAATTTGGGGGGCTGAGTATGTGAAAGGTGTGCAGCAGGGCTGCAAGGAGGAGGAGGCCTCTTTTGGGAGAAGAGACCAGAAGAGAAAGAAGATAAAAGAGAGGAGAGGAGGGGAGGGGAGAGGAGGGGAAGGGAGGAGAAGAGAGGAGGGGAGAGGAGGAGGGGAGGGGAGAGGAGAGGAGAGGAGGGGAGAGGAGAGGAGAGGAGGGGAGAGGAAGGGAGAGGAGGGGAGAAGAGAAGAGAGAGAGGAGTGGTGACTGAGAGGGCGGTTGCTCAAGGACCTCATTGCCTCCTGTAGGACTGTGAGGGGAGGAGAAGTCTGTTCTACCTTGGTGGGAATGCAACTGGGCTGACGCCCTGCATTCAGCCTGTGCCTTTCCTGGAATTTCTTTACTGTTCTTTCCGGTGGAAGAGGGCCGAGAAGGGGCCAAGCCAGGGCGCGGCTCTAGGTTGCCACACTTGGGAGTGCCGCCCAGAAGAGCTGGGCGCTGGGGAAGGCGGGGCACGCAGCAGCTTCCCTCCTCCCCCGCGCTTGGGCGCTTGGGCTGTTGGAGGCTGCAGCAGTTGCTAGGATTGCATCAGTCTTCCTGTTTGCACTATTTCTTTTTGTAACCTTGGCCCTTTCTTAAGTATTTCAAACCTCCTCCTTGCTCTGAAACTTCGGTGATTCCATTGTGATAAGCGCACAAACAGCACTGTCTGTGGGTAATATTGGTACTACTTTGTTATTAATTATTTTCTGTTCCACACTATAGTCGTCCTGTGGCACTCTACCCGTGCCTTTCTGGCCACCCCTGTCCCCATCCTAATGAGTGTAAGTTGGCACTGTGCCAGCTTGTATGAAGCTTGCCATTCAGCCAGTGGAAATACTATTATTATGAGAAAGTGGACTTGTCTGAAATGGAACCAACTGATGTTCTATCAGTGTTGTACATAGAATGATGAAAAGTTCCACTGTTGTTATATGTCTTAAATTTATTTAAAACTTTTTTAATCCAGATGTAGACTATATTCTAAAAATAAAAAAGCCAAATGTGTTAATAAAACTCCACAAAAGTTTGTTGCTCTTTAATCCATCAATGAATGACTTAGTAGTTAAATGAAAATAAATTATTTTTAGTAAATTTTATTTTCCTTCTGATATTTCAAGATAGTGGATAATCATCTCTGTAAGTATTCAGTTTTATTTGCGAAGCAGCTCTGGACAAAATTTACTTCCAAACTTTTTATTTCTAATTCAGTACCAAGATAGGCCCATAAACCTCAACAAAAAGTTCATAAGTATTCAAAGTATTTAGAAAGGTACAAATATAGTACTTCTGAACAAAGTTGACCAGTTTATTGGAGTGTTTAATTAACATTTTGATGTTTTTTAAGAACCTTAACCACAAACAAGTTTTGAGGCATAAAAACTTACCTTAAGGTGCAAATCTCTCTTGACTACTAAGTAGTTAAGAATTAGAAAAGAAATAAAAGGTAAATCAGTGCAGACACCTTGCAAGTCTTTATTTACGAATGTCTTATGTTGGTCTTAAGAGTTTCTTAAATGTGTGATAACACGTGCTCTGGTCTCTCAGTAGTTCCCAGTGAATTGCTACAGTTTGTCAGGCACTGTCCGCAATGCTTCTAGTTTTTCAGTGGACACTATGCAATTGTGGATAGCTGATGTGGTCAAGGCTGCAGTAGGACTCTTGGGAAGGGAAAACTTAGATGCCATTCTGATGTTTTCCCAGGATGGTGGGATGGGTGAAATCCATTGCTCTGTGTTTTCTTTTTATTTCATTATGGGGAATACGTGGGGAATATGTGTTACATCAACTTCAGTTTCTAAACTAGCAGTCATGAGACCTCTCTAAGCTTATAGACCTTGAATTTAATATACATATAACTGTTGCAGTTTTTTAAAGCAAATGTCTGTCTGGTATAGACAATTCAAGCGTATTACCAACTTTTAGTAGCAGTGACAAAATGGGAAAGTGTTGAGACAAGGTGCTTGCTGATGTCAGAGAAAGTCAATTGTTAAATATAAAGATAAGCTGAGAAGCACAAAAAGTAAGATATAGAGCTTATTGCTTTGTATTCCTATGAACATCAAAGTGCAAGCCCCCCCCCCAAAAAAAAAAAACACAAAGGAAGGAAATTACAGAAGCCACCAAGAAAGGAACACGGAGACTTTGAAACCTGAAAGTGTATGCTCAGATCCTCTTGTTCCTACTTCATAATTATAAGTATTTTAGCATCCAAGCTTGTTGCTGCATTTGAAATTAGGTATAACAATAATTATAATGCTTACTTCATGGAATTACAGTGAGAATTAAATAAGATGATATATAGTCTGTCAAAGATTTATAGAGCTCAAAGTTTCATTGAGTACTACTCAAGGATTTTACAGGTTTCTTTCTTCCTCTGTTTTAATGTTGGCTCATGTCTTCGTTGACCCCCTTGACTTCTCCAGGGATATACAAAATGTCCATTTTAGGGAAAACTAACATTTCAATTACAGACATAAAACAACAGGTAAACTATTTATTTTCTCAAAGTTGAAAAGAAGAGCCTGAATTAAAACAAAAAGTCAAAGTTTAGGCAATTAGAAGAATTTTATGAGATGCTAACTGCAAGCTGTTTTCAGAATATTCCTGTGGTATGTAGAATACAGTAAAGTACATGTTGATAGCAAACTTAAACTACAAGTAAAAAGTTATCAATGTTAACTTTATTTCTGAAAATGTCACACTATGTAAGAATATTTTTAAATATATTTTATTCTAACCTAGAAGTAATGATGATCACTGTTTAAAAGGATTTTTTTTAATGAACCAATGAGGTTTTCCAGGCCAAATAAGCTATTCTACTGATAGTGAAATAAAACTGGAAAATTCCCCAACAGATTCACCAGTTAGAACTTCTCAGGCAATTTAAAATTTTGCTTGATATCTGAGGGAGGTAAAGTGATAAGGGACTTTATTTTCAGAAGCTCTTTTCTGGGTGAACTCAAAGTACCTTATAGATTAAAAAGGTACAAACAGGAACAAAATAGGTCCAGAGGCATGGATGCCTAGAACCCAGGGACAGATCTCAGAGGGGAGGGGTGTGGGAGGCAGGAAGAGATTAATCAAATAATTTGTATGCTTAGCCCAGGGATGCAGATGATAGTGTGGGGAAGGTCTGGGGTTGAGCAGGGCTGGTGGAGGGAGGGAAGTTCCCGGAAGGGAGGCGAGGGGAATAAGGGACATCTGTAATACTGTCAAAAATAAAAATAAAATTAAAAAAAGTTACAAACATTGTGTGGCACCTCCCTAAAGAGCTCTTAGAGATCCTAGTCACCTGACAGTGCTCATCCCAGAGGCAACTTGTGACTAAAGAGAAGGCACAGATAGATGAACTAGGCAAAAATTAACAACTTAGAATGCATATGATTACCACAGGGATATTTACATTTGATAAGAATTTCCTACATAAAAATCTCACACCAAAGCCTCTGAGAAGATCTGTTTTGGCCCCTACAATAGCTTTCTGCTTTGCTCACATTGGCTTTTTCATGTTTTACATTCACAGTGGTCTGGCCTAATTTACTCTTTCTCTGAACCTGAACCTAATTGTTAAAGAGCACCTCATGGTAGCTGGGATTATTATTCTTTGGACCAACTTGAAAACTACTCTAGTTAGTTTTTTTAAAAAACATTTTTCTTTTAAAAATGAAAGTTATTGTCAGTTCATATGCTTCATAATTTCCCCTTACTTTAGTTGCTGAACAAAATTATTTTGGAAAGAGTGTTTCCCTTTCTTTCTCCACCCCTTGCCCCTTACCCTACCCCCCCTCCCTTTCTTCTGTGATTCTCAGATGTTCGAAAATTGGATATAGCTCTGGTGGAGGGAGGGCTCCAAATCTTATACACCCTTTTTTAAAAATAATGTTTTAGCCAAAACTGGTTTGGCTCAGTGGATAGAGCCTCGGCCTGCGGACTGAAAGGTGCCAGGTTTGATTCTGGTCAGAGGCATGTACCTTGGTTTCTAAGGGCACATCCCTAGTGGGGGGTGTGCAAGAGGCAGCTGATCAATATTTCTCTCTCATTGATGTTTCTAACTCTCTATCCCTCTCTCTTCCTCTCTGTAAAAAAAAAAAATCAATAAAATATATTTTAAAAAATAAAAATAATGTTTTAAGGGGACACCTAGTACATTTATACCATTACAACCTTGTGTGCTTTATTTTTAAGAGTTTTCTAGAAAAAAGACAAAAACAAAGTTTTCATTGAAATTGTGGAGGCAATTTTTAACCCCAATAAAAAAATGTTACCCTAAATCAAAAAAATCTGAGTCAGGAGCTTATGAAAACTTTAATCATGTAGACTATTGGATGGGTATCTTAAAATGATTAGTCTTTTTAAAATTTCAAACTTTATGTAGTTTCTGATCAGACTAAATTTTTTAATTAGCAACATAATTTAAACTTAAAATTATTTTTTTCTTTTAAGTTGTGTCCATCTTTTTTTTTTTTTTTTTTAATAATTCAGAGAAATTTAAAGGTTGTTCTTGAGTTACTCTAATTACTTTATTAGGTCCCCAGTTGGTTCAGTTTGAACTATGTAGAACTTTCTTTAAGTGGTAGAAATTATGATGATCTACTACCAATAACCATTTTTTAAAATGTAGAAGCCAATACCAACCTTTGCCTTATACAACCAAGGCTCCTTCACTGCCCCTCCACACATTACAGGGCCCCCCATATTAACTTTTGTAAGGCTTTGTGACTCCCTATAGTTCAAAAAATCTTCATAGCCAAGGGAAGGCCCAGAGCTTGAGCCCCTACTTGTAGAGCACACTTGGTACCTGGGTCCTCAGAGTTCCCTATCTATATGCCCCTGAGCCCATTCCAAAGACTTCATAGGCATTTATCCTGAGATTATCCTCCTGGTGGTGGACATGCTTGGATGGTGGACAGGGCTTGGACAAGCAAGCTGAGTTGCCCAAGTATGGAGATTGGGTAGAGAGATAAGAGGCCATAAGGGGGCAGAGCAGAGCATAGGCTGGAGGAACCTCTGGGTTTTAGAATGAACAAAGGATTTGAAAGCCAGTAGAAAGGACATGAGAGGTGAAAGCAGATTAATATTTATTTTAAGGTCTTGTCCAGTATTGGCAAATGAGGATTCTATGGGTTTTCTCCCTATTTCCCACAGTCCCAAAGAGTCTCCATGCTCCACTGAAAGTATGTCAATTAATTAATGAAGTATTGGCTAAAGAAAAGGAAAAACACATCTCTACACAGAGTTTTTCCAGCTGTTTGGTATTCAGTGAGTGCTTCAATGGTGGCAATGATAATGAAGACTCAAGGAATACATCTTCCATAAAACCATGATGATTTTACCTCCTCAAATTTTCTTTCCTTTAAAAAAAATTGTTGGCTATTTTTTTTTTTAGCATCAAAATTCAAGTTGGGATATAATAATAATAGTTGTTCATCTGTTTAAATAAAGCCTCCTAAAGCCACAACTATCTCATCAACCCTTCCTGTTTGGGCATTCTCTATTTTTAAGAGAAGCATTTTTTCCCCATAACTTTCTATTCTTGTTATAATATTTTATTAGTTCTTTGTTTGTTACTTCAGAACACTTTGTTGAGCAGTTTTGAAAATTTATCTGTTGGTGTACCCAACTTCAATAATCTCAAACTAGTAAGAATTTTAATTGAATTCAACAAGAAAAAATTTAAAATAAAATAAAATGTTTACCATTAATGAATATTCCTCCTATTGCAATAGCTTGATTAATATTATATCTTTAAAAATAGTTTGTCACCTTCAAAAATTTTTGATTGGAGAAAGTCCTTATAATTTAATTGAGAACAAGATAATAGAAGGTAGTCTTTTGACCTTGAACTGTCTAGAAAAAGTGCCTTCTAACACAGATATGAAGACTGAGAAAATACTAGGGAGACATAGATCCCAGTTCTTTATTTTAGCAAGCTAAGTAAGCAATGTTGGGGGATGGGGTGATTTTTAGACTCTGTTTTACTCTTAAATACCAACCATATTAGTGTTGATATGTGCACTTTTATCAACCAGCATTCAGTTAACAGGATGAAAACTGGACATGATTCATTTGATGTTTTCAAAGGTAGAAACCAACTTTGTAGTTTTTTTTTTTCCTTTTGAATACCACACTGCTGAGGTAAAGAATGTTATAGCTTGTGGGTGATCTCAATAGGACCAATTAAAACCTGACTACTCTCCCACCATGTTGAAATACCTCACAGAACTTGCTGTGTCCTTGGATGATGGCATTTTTTCTTCTTCTTAGCAGACATATAATTGAGGAGAGTTCCTGTTTGGTAGTCAAGGAAATATGAAAATGAAAGTACTACATTGTTGGTTCTGACCAAAGTCTTTAACATTTTCCAGTTGATTACAATGTGATATTAATTTTAATACCTGCTTTGAAAAAACATACACATTGTGAAAGAACACCCATATGTTCTGTAGTAGCCAAACTATGTGTAGAATGCAAGGAGTGTAGTTAGTGTACTTTAGTCATTCAAAACAAGGTGTAGTATTTTGTGGCATGTAATTGACATTGCAGTTTATAACTCATGGATGCTTTGGGGGTATAATTTAATTTCTGTTGTGATATGTAATTGTTGATAATTTCTTCATAGCTTAAATGCTTGGAAGAGGAAGTGCCAGAAATTTAGATGTTTAACTCAGATGTTGAGAACTAAGAAGAATCTTGGAAAACTATAGCTATTTTCCTCTACTTGGTTTGGAAGCAGAGGAAAAGGCTCACTCCCTGCAGCCAAAATGGGCCTATATGGGAAAAGGAAGGTGCTGAGAGAGCCCAGCATAATTTAGTCTTTCCAAATTTATAAAATGTCACCCCACTGTCCCTGGTTCTTCGTGATAAGGGGAGTGGTGAAGAAAGGTAAAGTATGTTTTGGGACACTCCCAGGAGTGGAGAGGTAATCATTCTCTTCTGATAGCAGGTTGTGGTGCCTTTTTCTCTGACTAGAAAGGCAGAAAATATTAAGTTGAAGCATGATATTGTCATTTTTGTCAGTCCAAGATGGTTGAATAATTCCCGAGTCCAGCAATTAGATGTTCCTCTATGTGCCTATTATAGTATTTTCCCCTCACCTTATGAAAGTATTATTTGCCAACTCAGGATTAACCTGGTTTTGAGGTAGAAGTAGTATGGGACAAAGAAAGATGACGGGAGCAACTATATAAGAATAGAAAAAAGAGGTGACTTAAAATGAAAAGAAGAAATTGAAATTTTATAGAAGAGCTTTGGTAAACATTGCCACCTTTAATCAAGAGGTAGAATATTTGTCTTTTAAGATGCTTGTCCTTGGAATACAGATGCAATGCTCTGAGGAAGTCCAGCAGCCAGCCTCAATTCCAAAAATGTAAGAGAGTTTTTAAGCCACTATAGCTGACACCGAGTGAAGCAGACACAAGTTATTCCCATCAAGCCCTGACCAACTTTCAGGTTTGTGTGCAAAATTTTTTATTCTTGTAAGCCACTGAGTGGTTTGTTATACAGTAATGGATAATTAAAAGAGACTTCTCCCCATATTTCAGAAGATTGAAGAACTAAATGAAAACAATTGAAAGTAGAATGTAATCTATGGGACTGGATCTATTTTAACACATTTACCTGAGTAAAAAATAGCTTATAATAGACCTGAAACCTTTGGAAACATTCATGTGGTGGCTGGTGTAGAGAAGATAAGAGTTAGAAGTGATGGATGATTAGACATATGCTATAAGTAACATTTTGCTGCTTTGTTAAAGCTCAGCATTTAGGCAGAATAATGACCCTCCAAAGATGTCTGTCTTAATCCATGTAACCTGTGGATATATCACCTTACAAGGCAAAGGGTAATTAAGGTTGCAGCTGTAATTAAGGTTGCTAATCATCTGACCTCCAAATGGAAAAAATTATCCAGATTATCTGGATAGGCCCAATAAAATCACAAGGGTCTTTAAAAATAGAAGTAGGAGGCAGAAGAGTCAGAGTGATGCAGAACGAGGAAGACTCAGTTTGGCTTTGAAGATGACGATAAAAATGAAGATGAAGGTGGCAGTGAACAACAAACAAACCAACAAACAAACAAAGAAACAAACAAGGCAGCCTCTAAAAGCTGGGGAAAGCAAGGAAACATTTTCCCTGGAGCCTCCAGAAGGTATGCAGCCCTGCAGGCATCTTAATTTTAGCCCAGTGAGACACATTTTAGACTTTTGACTTCCAAAAACTGTAAGATAATAATTTTACATTGTTTTAAGCCACCAAGTTTGTGGACATTTGTTAAAGAAACAATAGGAAACTAAACTACTTGGCCTCTCACATGTAGCACTTAATCAGTTCATTATCTTTGGACTGACTAAAATACAGAATTTCATGCACAACAACTTGTTGAAAACAGTTTTAAAAAATCTTCTTTTGTGAAAGAGACTTATTTTTCTTTTAAGTTCCAGTCTTGGTGACAGTAGCCCTGCATAAACAGACACTATGCATACAAGTCCTTTAGTTGATCTCTTACCACCTCAACCCCACCTTCCCTTTTAAGTTATTGACAATATGTTCCATGCTTCTATATTTCTGGTACTATTTTTGTTTCTGGTTTATGTTGTTCATCATATTCCACAAATGAGTGAGATCATGTGATATTTATCTTTCTCCAACTTGCTTATTTCGCTTAGCATAATGTTCACCAGGTCCATCCATGCTGTTGCAAATGGTAAGATTTCTTCCATTTTCACAGCACATAGCATTCCATTGTGTAGATGTACCACAGCTTTTTAATACAATCATCTGCTGATGGGCACTCACGCTGTTTCCAAATCTTAGCTACTGTAAATAACGCTGCTATGAAAGTAGGGGTGCATATATCCTTTCTGTTTGGTGTTTCTAGTTTCTTGGGATATATTCTTAAGAGTGGGATTACTGAGTCAAATGGGAGTTCCATTTTTAGTTTTTTGAGGAAACTCCATACTATTCTCCACAGTGGCTGCACTAGTCTGCATTCCCACCAGCAGTGCATGAGGGTTCCTTTTTCTCCACATCCTCACCAGCACTTGTTGTTTGTTGATTTGTTGATGATAGCCATTCTGAAAGGTGTCCAGCAGCTTTGGGATAATTAGTGACTTTGAGCATGTTTTCATATGTCTCTTGGCCTTCCTTCTGTCTTCTTTCAAAAAGTGTCTATTTAGGTCCATTGCTCATTTTTTGATTGTTTTTTTTTTTATCTTTCCTTTGTTAAGTTTTATGAGTTCCCTGTAAATGTTGGAGATTAAACCTTTATTGGTGATGACATTGGCAAATATGTTCTCCCATGCAGTGGGTTTTCTTGTTTGTTTGTTTGTTTGTTTGTTTATTGTTGATGGATCTTTTGCTTTGTCGAAGCTTTTTATTTTGATATAGTCCCATTTGTTTATTTTCTCTTTAGTTTCCATTGCCCTAGGAACTGGGTAGGTGAAGAAATTGCTTTGGCATATGTCTAAGATTTTCTGCCTATGGATTCTTCTAAGATTTTTAGGTTTCCCATCTTACATTTATGTCCTTTGTCCATTTTGAGCTTATTTTTGTTTATGGTATAAATTGGTGGTCTTGTTTCATTTATTTTGCATGTATCTGTCAAATTTTCCCAACACCATTTATTAAAGAGACTGTTTTGACTCCATTGTATGCTCTTGCCTCCTTTGTCAAATTTAGTTGAGTATAATGACTTGGGTCATTTTCTGGGTTCTCTGTTCTGTTCCATTGGTCTATATGTTTGTTCTTGTGCCAGTACTAGGCAGTTTTGAGAACAGTGTTTGTGTAATATAGCTTGATATCTGGTATTATGATCCCTCCAACTTTGTTCTTTCTCATAAAGACTTTTTAAAAACATAATTCAACATCAAAGCAATCATTCCTTAGTTGGAGCTGACATTGGAAGGCAGCTAAAGGAACAGCATCTCTATCTATATGTACATCTCTTTTGATATAAAGGACATAATTTGCTCAATTGGAAAAATCTGAGTGAAGTTTGTATATTAGATATTTGTTTTGTAGCAGTGTTAATTCTATTAATTATGAAAATTGTATTATAGTTATATATGTTGTTCTCATTCTTAGGAAATATACACTGAGGTGTTTAAAAGTAAAGGGGTATTATGTTTGCAATTGATTATCAAATGAGAGAGAGATAGTAAAATGGGATGTCTTGATGAGAAGTATATGGAAAGATATTTTTATTACTCTTGAAACTTTCTGTAAGCCAGAAGTTATTTAAAACAAAATTTTTTAATATTTTAAATTTATTAGAGAGAGAGAGACAGAGAGAGAGAGAGAGAGAGAGAGAGAGAGAGAGAGAGAGAGAGAGAGAGAGATTAACATGAAAGCAAAACTTCGATTGGCTGCTTCCTGCTTGCACCATACTGGGGATCAACCCTGAAACTCAGACATGTTCCCTGACCAAGAATCAAACTAACAATGCTTTGGTGCATAGGATGACACCCAACCAACTGAGCCACACAAGCCAGGACAACTAAATTAAAAAAATATATATCCATACTTAGCACTTTCAACTTATTCTGAGGATAAAAAGAAATGTGTTTTACAATGATGTCTTATTCTGCAGTGTAATGAATGGTTCAATCTGGTTGGACTCTTCACCAGTTCATAGGCTTTTGTAATAATCCAGGTGGTGATGACGGTGGTCTCAAATAAAGATTGGCAATGGAGTAGAGAAGTAGATAGAAAAATGAGATACCTAGGAAGTAAAAATCAGAGGACATGATGGGATGTTATAGAGGTTATAGGGAGGGAGGAGTCAGGGGTGACCTTTGGGATTCTTCCTGAAGTGTTTGAGTAGATGTGCATTGAATTTGTGAGTTAAGCACCAGAGGCAAAGGAGCACATTTTAGTGGTAAGGACGATTTTAGTTTTAGACCTTTCCAGCAAACTAGCTCTAGCTGTAGCCTTCCCCATTTAAATTGATAGTAGTGCCTTCCTTACAATTGGTCAGGTCCAAAACTTTGGAAATACACTTGACACTTCTCATTTTCTCATATCTGACATCCCATTTACTAGGAAACCTTGTTGGCTCTGTTTTCACAAAATACCAAATATCTCACCACTTTCACAACTTTCACTGATACTGGAATTTTTCACAGCTTCTTAACAGGTCTCCTGCATCTACATTTTCTCTATACAGTATCCAGTTGGAAATTGTTCAAACACAGGTAATGCCACCCCTCTGATCTAAACTCTTCAATGACTTCAAATATCTCTCAGTATAAAAGTCAATGTGCTTCCAAAGGCCTTTAAGATTCTGCATGTAATGACTTCTAGTACTGCTTTGATCACATCTCACACTCTCCCCCTTGTTCATTCTGTTCCAGCCACAGCAACTACTTTGATTCTCCTTAAACTTGCAAGGCATACTCCAGCCTTGGGCCCCTTGCTCTTGTCCTCTCTTCTGGAATGCTCTTTCCTCAGATTGCAATATAACAGAAAACTCTGAAATGATAAGGCCTTAAACAAAGTAAAACTATTTCTCTATATAGTATAAAGAAAATTTACAAATAAGGTGTGAAAGGAAGCTATTGTGACCCCACTGTGTGTCATTAAGCCTCAGGCTCAGACATTTTTGTTTCTATAGCTTCAACACCCTTCCTTAAGGGTACTTCATGACACAGGGTGCATACTGGAGCCCCAGATATCATGTTCATATTTGACACTGCCACCAGGAGGGTAGGCAGAAAGAAACTCTCAACTGAGTCAGTTCCATCATAAGAAGCAAATCCAGCCCTTCCACAAATAAATCTTTGTATAGTTCTTTGATTATATCTTACTCACAACTTACCTTTAAAAGCCTTTGAATAACTTTGGATTTCAGGTTGAAAAATCATATTTAGGTGCTAGGAAGGCTGGAAATGCAGTTGTTTATTTTAGGTGTCAACATGCTCAGCTAAAAAATAGAGTTCTTTTACTAAGGAGAAAGGGGTGAATGAATATTGGCAAAGTGAGATAGCAGGTTTTGCTGCAGATATCTTATTTTTAATGTCGATGACTTAATCATTACCTTGTCCTCTGACAGCACAGCCACAGGGCCTGTTACCACATTACCCATCTTCATTGTGGGAGGTGGGCAGTGAAGAACCTGGCTTTTAAGCCATACTAGTGAGGTGGTAAGAAGGAAGGACAGATTAGAAGAAATGGTGTGATAGCCCTGGACATCCAGAAAAATGGAGTATTGGTCTTTGATGAGTCTATGACTAAAGTAAAGTTTGAGTCTTACTGTTAATTTTTATCCTTGATTTTCTTTCCTCTGTAATCATTTGCACTCAGGGTTGTTTATATGTGATTTGGCATGAGATGTAAGTGTTCTGCTGGTCCTGGGTGTGAAATATGTCCATGTTCAGAGTTTCTCATATTTCCTATTATTTTTTCATTTTCATTTCTGTATAGGGCATTGGTAAAGCTTTTTAACCACATGTAATATTATCAAGTATAACTTGAACAAAAAGATGCAAGTATGAGTGAAGCTTTGCTACAGAGATAGATAGGACTTAAAGTTACAATAATATATTTTCTAAGGTGTAAACTTCTTTGTGAAAAGAATGTGTATATAAATTTAGCTGTTTTAATAAACTAGCAGAATTGAGGGTTTGCTAGAGTTTAAAATAAATAATTAAATACCAGGAGATTATTTTTTTAGGATTTGACAATATTAGAAATATTTTTTAAAAACAAGTTAGACAAAATATACATATTATAATATATTCCATAAAAAAGTATTTAGGAATATCCATTATTCTCCAGCTACTGGTTATCTCTGCCTGAGTGACGGGGGGGGGGGGGGGGGCGGATTTTATTTTTCATTATCTCTTTTTATGATTGGTTTGTATACTTTTTATTGTTCATAAACCCTCACCCTCAACCCCAAGGCAAGACAAATAGCCTAGGAGTGATGCAGATTACTCAGTGAGGAGGTAGTCAACATATGAAGTTCCCATGTGACATAAGTGATACAATCTATGGCACTGCAGAGGTGGTACATGGATTGGAGGTGGGGCAGCTCCTACTTATGCCAACTTCTGAGTTACCAAGAAACTGTTCTAACCACACAAATGAAAGTTCCTTTTTTGTAGTTTGGTAGTTTCCCTTCTTTTGTAAGGATAATGACTAAGCAAGAAGTCCCTGGGTTTGCTCTGTTCAGAAACTCAGGGTACAGTAATCAGACAATAGCCAACACAAGTGATTTATTCTAAAATCTCCAATTCATATCAAGATTTACCATGTTGTATAGTTCTAGGTGGATATTGAAAATGCTACAGAAATTATTTTGTAAAATATATGATTGTCTAACCACTATCTGTACAAGTGAAACTTATATAAAATAATATTGATTGTAAAATGTAATTAAAAAATAAGATTTTAAAAAAGGAAAAAGATTTACCATGTAAATATCTATCTGTTTTGGGGAATGTTGGAGAAAAGATCTTTTATGTGTGAAATATTGGGAAATACAGGTTATTTAAACTTTTCAGCAAATAGAGGTATGGATACTTGGAAAAACATTCAAATGTATGTTGCATATACAGCAAAGGGGAAGGAAGGGATGGGGGCTTAACAGTGGAGGAATGGAGCCAAAAAAGATGAGATAGTATGATCAATATGGAGGGCAACTCTGATGGTGACAAGGAAACTAAGAGGAGCGTGGCACAGCTGGGCAGGACAAGCCAGCTATTGAGGAGAGAGTGAGTTCACATGCAAGGTCAGAGCCAAAGTCTATGAGAAGAGAAGGCAGGATGAGTCAATCAATATTTTTTCCTCTGTAAAATGCCTCAGAAAGATAGAATAAGTATATTAATATCTGTGTTTTATAATATGAAATTAATTTCCACATCAGCAAGCTAATTTCCCCCCAAAGATGTATCTGTAAATCTGTAGAAACAGCTTAATTCTCTAATATAAAGCCTGTAAGAATTCTAGCCTCTTTTCTATAAAGCTCAATTTCTTCCTAATGACTCATTTCTCGTGGAAACACAGTATTGTCTAAGATTAGTTACAGAGATCTAATGATTATTCCAAAAGAAAATAAGTGTCTACATTTAAAAAAATAAATCTTTATTGTTCAGATTATTACAGTTGTTCCTCTATTTTCTCCCTATAGCTCCCCTGCACCTGGTTCCCACATCCCCTGTCCTTATTGCCCCCGCTCCCCACTGTCGTCATCCATAGGTGTAAGATTTTTGTCCAGTCTCTTCCCACACCCTCACACCCTCTTCCCCCCAAGAATTGTCGGTCCACTCCCTTTCTATGCCCCTGATTCTATTATATTCACCAGTTTATTCTGTTCCTCAGATTTTTAATTCACTTGATTTTTAGATTCACTTGTTGATAGATATGTATCTGTTGTCACTTTGTTGTTCATAATTTTTATCTTTACCTTTTTCTTCTTCTTACTCTTCTTAAAGAATACCCTTCAGCATTTCATATAATACTGGTTTGGTGGTGATGAACTCCTTTAGCCTTTTCTTGTCTGTGAAGCTCTTTATCTTCCCTTCAATTCTAAATGATAGCTTTGCTGGGTAATCTTGGTTGTAGGTCCTTGCTATTCATCACTTTGAATATTTCTTGCCACTCCCTTCTGGCTTGCATAGTTTTTGTTGAGAAATCAGCTGACAGTCCTATGGGTACTCCCTTGTAGGTAACTAACTGTTTTTCTCTTGCTGCTTTTAATATCTTCTCTTTGTCTTTTGCCCTTGTCATTTTAATTATGATGTGTCTTGGTGTGGTCTTCTTTGGATTTCTTTTGTTTGGGGTTCTCTGCACTTCCTGGACTTGTAGGTCTATTTCTTTCACCAGGTAGGGGAAGTTTTTGTCATTATTTCTTCAAATATGTTTTCAATATCTTGCTCTCTCTTTTCTTCTGGAACCCCTATAATTCAGATGTTGGTACACTTTAAGTTGTCCCAGAGGCTCCTTGCACAATCTTCATAATTTTGGATTCTTTTTTTCTTTTTGCTTTTCTGGTTGGGTGTTTTTTGCTTCTTCATATTTCAAATCTTTGACTTGATTGTTGGGATCCTCTAGTCTGCTGTTAGATCTCTGTATATTATTTTTTATTTGAGTCAGTGTATGCTTAACTTCTAATTGGCCCCTTTTCATATCCTTGAGGGTCTCACTATATTTCTCAGAGGTTTCTTAAATGTTCTTGAGTAACCTTATAACTGTGGTTTTGAACTCTATATCCAATAGTTTGCTTTCCTCCATTTCTTTCATTTGTGACCTGTTTCTTTGTCTCTGCATTTTGGCTGCTTCCCTGTGTTGATAGAGTGGCTTTGCGTGCTAGGTGTCCTATAGGGCCCAGTGACTCAGCCTCCCCAATTACTTGAGGTGGACCCTCTTGGTGCACCCCTTTGTGGGCTTTGTGCACAGTCTTGTTGTAGTTAAGCCTTGATTGCTGTTGGTATCACTGGGAGGAATTGACCTCCAGGCCAATTGGCTGTGAGGACCAGTTGTGTCTACAATGGGAGAACTTCTGTGCTGGAGACACCCTTATGAGGCAAAACTTGCTTCAGTGGGGCTTTGGTGCTCACTGAGTCTTCCCTCTGAGTGTGTCTCTTATGGATATGTAGAGTTGTAATCTGGATGGTCTCACTCTGACCACTGGGTACACTGGCTCTTGAATCTCCAAGGAGATGCAAGGTCAGCCACTTCCTAAGCAGGAGCTATAGAGAGATCTGCAGATTCCTCCTCTTTGTTTGGGGTTTGGAGATGCCCAGATGAAGCTCATCTGTGAAGCAATGCAAGCTTCTATGAAGCTCTTGGCCTTCTTTTGGAAACTATGGGGCTCTTTCACCCAGCTGCAGTTTGTTTGGTTTTAGATTGCAAAAGGCCAGTTCATTCATATGCAAAAGCTTCTGCATATAGCTTGGGAGGGGTTGTAAATTAGGTAGGGTGAGGTCTCAGGGAATCATCAGTATGGAGCAAACAGCAATTGGTGCCTGTTAGCCCTACCCCGAAGAGGCCCCCAGGCCTATGTGTCCCAGGGCACCACGTAGGCACAATGATCACTGCAAGCACCTCTGAGAGAAAGCTGCCCTCGCAATCCTGCCCAATGCCAGACAGTCCAGTTTTTCACCATATAAG